GGGGGGGGGGGGGGGGGGGGGGGGGAGAACGGGACACGGGACCTGTGTTCCACCAGGAAAATGGCAATCTGTGCCACACTTGGGCTACAAAATAAGGGGACAGCCCACATGAATTAGGTAGGTCCCCATCTATAAGGCTTGCTTAGACTGTCAAGTGAGAGTTTTACTACAGATAAAACATCCTGTATTTCAGGCAAGAAGCTTCCTTTCATCCATTAGCTGGCAAGCATTCATGTTGTAAAGTACAAGAAAGGTTAATCCAAATGGAAGATCCTTCCCTTAGAAAAATCATATCTGGCTGAATCCATAAATGACTGAAGGTTAAAAATGGACAGCTCTCTCTCACAAGAGCCATGGCCAGGATGGTACTAAATCACAAAGATCCTGATTCAGTGCTAACTGACTATAAGCCAAGCTATTAGCAGAAATACATTTCTTGAGGTAAACTGTTCAGGATTTTCAGCTTCAGATATTCCAGGTTTTAAGAGAAGTAACCTGATTTACAGAGGAAAAAATTGACTCTCACCTTTCAAGCTATTCTCTGAGAATGATTAACAAAATAGTACATCTGTCAGGTATGTGCCCTTAACTAGTATTTCATATGCCTATTTTTCCAAAACCTCAGAATATACATTTTCTACTCTGTGAAAAAAATTCAAAGTTTTTTTTCCATTCCAGAATTGGGATTAAAGCCACACACACACACACACACACACACACACACACACACACACACACACACACACACACACACACACACACAAATAAAAACACAAGGAAGAGAGGGTAGACAGTGCTACTTTTCCAAGGGACTTTGTAACCTTTACTATTGAGATTTACAGATACTATAATAACCATAGCAAAGCAAAACTCTGCCTAGCCAACTATTTTATGGCAGGGGTTGGCAGCTTAGGGCCCCTTGGCCAAATTTATCTTGTGAGCCACTGGATCTAGCCCACAAGCGTGGGACTTTGACAGGAGCTTCTCCCATGCTTTGGCAGGGAGAAACAGCAGTGGCAGGCACTTCCCCTGTGCAATGGCAGGGAACTGTGGCACCCTCAGTTCGTTCCAGGTGCTCACTCAGTTGCCTCCCTGATTCAAGCTGGGTCATCCCAAGCCCCTGAAAAGGTTGCCAACTGTTGTTTTAAGATGTTGTTAACACAAGTTTAGTTTGGTCTGCTAGCACACTCCTGGTTATACCTACATAAGCACCAGTCCTTGAGGCCCTGGGTAAAGGGTCTGTAGATTGCACTGCACTGTATAGGCATTCAAACCTTTTTCAATTAAACATGAGAAATTTTGACAACAATCTGTTGTCCCAAAAAAGTTTGGGAAACTACTGACATACAGGAAGTCCGCGACTTACAACTGAGTTATGACAAATGGCACTTAGGATGTTTATAAATTTACACCTTGTTTAAAAGTTCCGACGCGGGTTTTGACTTTACAATGCTCAATACAGCTGTGTCCAGCTGGTAAGTCTATTGTTGGGGGTGGGGGGGAAGAAAAGGACATGGTGGGGGGTGATCAATGCCCCCACAGTGAAGGAGGAGTGAGGCCAGGGCTGGGGCAAGTATTGCCCAGCCAGAGGGGGTGCAGGGCAGAGCTGTGGCTGGTCTAGGAGACACAGGGGGGAGGGGGGGGCAGCTCCTGCCACTGCTCTCACCGCTTGTCTGGGAGGGCATGGGGGGGCATGTGCCCCCAGATCTGCATGGGGTGGGTGGAGCCAGGGCCACACTGGGGTGCATTCCAGGTGGGCAGTGGCAGTGCTGGGAGCAGGTGCTATGCATTTCCATCACTTGCCCATTTGGGGCGGGGTGGGTGAGGGATGGAACTGCTGTACCACCTCTGGATAAGCAGCGCGCAGCAGCAGGAGCCGCCTCTCCTCTGTGCCCCCCTGAATGAGCCGTGGCTCCATCCCACACCTGCCCCGCCCGAGTAAGCAGCAGGAAGGCATGGGGGGGCATATGCCCCCAGATTGGGGCAGGCTGTGCTCAGGGCAGGCAGCGGAGCTGCAGCCACCCAAAAGTTTGCCGTAGCCTGCCCCATAGTCCCCGAAGCACAGCCTGGTGCAGCCCCAGCCCCACCCCCTGCAGAGCCGGGGATACATGCCCCTTGTGCCCTCCTGGACAAGTGGTGGGAGCTACTGGACAAGCAGCTCCTGGACCAGCGGCACGCAGCAGTGGGAGCCGCCCCCCTCCTCCCCGCACCCCCTGGACGAGCTGTGGCTGTCACATGCCTGCCCTGCCCTGACTGGGAACCGCTTGTCCCTACCCCTGTTCCAGCCCCAGCCTCACTCCTCCCTCACCACAGAGGCATTGATCTCCCCCTCCACACCCTTTCCCTCCCCACTTCCCTTCCACCACAACAGACTTAAAAGCTGGACGCAGCTATATTGAGCATCGGAAAGGATCCAATTCCCCATTTATAACATTATTCCTATGGGAAAACTGGTTCCGAGTTATGTTTCCACTTACAACACGGTTTTCAGGAACCAACTGTGTTGTAAGTCTGAGGACTGCTTAAGAGTTTCAATCACAAAGCATTTCAATTACACAACAGACATATTCACATGACAGCTACTTACGCAGGTTTAATGCCCGACAAGCCAGAAAGAGATATGAAGATGTCCCAGGAAAAAGAATTACTGCACCTAACGTATGCCAAAGTTGTAATGATTTTGCTGCAGAGCTCAAGATTTACATGAGAAAGATATCTGTAAGTTTTAGATTCTCTAAAAATAAGGGGAGGAAATAAAAGATTTGACTTTAGATAATATAAATTAATGAGGAGAGAGGAAAGAAACTTTTAACCTTTATTTCATGGAGAGAGAAAAACCCGGAATCAGTGGTGATCAACAAAAAAGAATACTGGGAAAATTGCACAGAAATCTGCAAAAATATAAGACAATATAAGACAGATTAAACAAATTAGGCCCCAGGCAGATGTTACACTTAAAACATGATTAAACAGTTAATCCTATCTTAAATAGTAACATAACTACACGTTAATGCACGTAATAATGAAATAAAACAAGAAACAAAGTTACTACACAAAGCACATCTAACAACTTTGTGGCTGGTTCCCATCCTGCCTTAAATTGCATGTGTGGCCAGGCATCACCATCAGAGCTCCCAGTCTTGCGAGTGCATGGGAGCCCATGTCTGATGCATGCCTTCGGCTGGGAACACCAAGGTCTGTCCCAAGGTGAGTGGAAATTAAGCAAAGGCAGTTAACCCCTGGATGAAACAACTACTATCTATACTGCAAGTGTTCAGAGGAGACAAATAAAACTATTATAGCAGGTTACCTTGACCCAGTGAATGCTACAGCAAGTACCTTCCTTCATTCACTCTCACCAGACTGCAGATGGAAGCCTCTATCAAGATTAAGCCCATTTTGTACAGCCTACAGCCAAAGTCAGTTTAGAGTGGATATCAGGAAAAACTTCACTGTTAGAAAACTAAGGCAGCGGAACAGAGATTCAAGAAGAGGTTGGACAGACACTGTTCAGGGATGATCCAAGCATTCCTATGCCTATGTTTCACTATGTGCATTTCCCATGATTCTGGGCTTTACTGGGTGCCTCACAGGGCCAAGAGGGAATTTTTATCCCTCCTGCTGCTATAGACATGAGATTTTGTTTTTTTAAGCCTTCCATCAGGGTACAGGGTCTTGGCAGCACCCAAGGTTGGGGATTTTGAGTGGGCTGTGCCACAGCTTCAGCTGGGATTGAAACCTGGTTAGAGGGTACTGTCCCTCTGCTCAGGGTCAGACTGATCACCATATCTGGGATCAGGAAGGAATTTTACCCCATGGTCAGATGAGTATGGTCTGTGGGGGGCTTTTTGCCTACCTCTAAGGGGGTGTGGCCCTCTTCCTCATCTCTCAAGCAATAAGCTTTGCAGCAACAGGACATTAACTGCTGTGGTCCCCCTGCTCTGTCTGTGACACGTTAGGGTGTTATGTCTTGTTTTGTTTCAGGGTTAACTGTATAGTTTTACTAAGAGGTTAGACAATGGATCTGTATACACTAGTTTGGATAGGGATGGTCCTGCCTCAGGCAAGGGGTTGGACTAGATGACCAATGGAGGTCCCTTCAAGTCTTACTTATTAGGGGTACACTGATGGAGATTTTGGGGCCAATACAGATAACCAATTTTTATAGAGGCATATCAGCCGATACTGATCCGATTTCCGATATGCAGCCCAGCAGCTTGAAGAACAGTGCCCAGCTGGTAAATCTGTTGTGGTGGAAGGGGTGGGGGAAGGGAAGGGGCTTGGGAGGGCAGATCAAGGCCCCTGCAGCGAGGGAGGGAGTGGGACTGGGGCAGGCACTGCCCAGACAGGGCATGGGATGGAGATGCAGCTCATTTGGGGGGCACAGGGAGGGGGGTAGCTCCTGCCACTGTGCACACCCTGGATCTGTGTAGGGCAGGGCGGGCTACCACTGTGGGCTGGGGCCAGGGTTACACCAGGCTCTTCCCAGCGGGGGCAGCCCACCCCACCCAGATCTGGTGGCACACACCCCCTCCATGGCCTCCCAGGGTATTTATTGGCCACATCAGGGAGAGAAAAAAAAAAGCCAATTTCCGATAGTCAATTTTCTTTTCATCAGTGCTGTTCCAATATAAAACCGATGCAACTGTGCATCTCTACTACTCACCTATAATTCTATGACAAGGAAAAATCTTTATTCAAAAGGAGAAGTCTGTGCTTTGTACGTAAAGTGGTAAAGCAGGAAGGTCCTAAAAATCTGTAAGCATCTTCAGAGACAGTAGCACAAAACAAAGATGTACTTTTTGGGGGAAATAGAGAATTATAGCTTCTTAATTCCTCTTATCTGAATAAATTTTATTCATCAGACATGAGGCTGGGTAAAATGGGAGGTGTTTTTATCTTACCTTTCCAAATGATCCTTGACCAAGAACCTTAAGCAATTCAAATTGTGCAGGATCTGCTCTCTCGCATCCTTCTTTCACGTGATGGGTAATAGGAATTTCTTTCACACTTCCTTCATCCTATTAAGGTTAATACAAGGAAAAAAGGAATACAACAAACAAACATTACTGAATTGGGTCTTACAAAATGTGTACACAAACATCTACTGCATTATTACATCACCACTTGAAACGGCACTCATGTTTTTGAAAATCTTAGATATATCCATTCAGGAATCTTAAGCCTGAAATTGTTTCCTCACCAAATTCCTTTCAACTAAAATAGGGCACATTTCCTGTACAGTTATACACATAATGGATTGCAATCATTATGAGTTTTCAATGTGAAGAATATGTTATGACAATAGAGATAATCTAAGATAAGACTGAGATGACACTTCCAAACCTGTGTGTCAGTTGCTTTTAGGTTTCTCAAAATTTCTCACACTTGGTCTTTGCCTGAAATACTGCTAATGAAAACTGACTAATGAAAACTAACAGCTCATTCATCCTTTGAGAAAAGCAATAGTTGGAAAGAAATCATCAATGAGGTCATCAGCTTCAATAACTGAAAGATATGCATCATTTAAAGCCAGTCAACAGGACGTGAATCACTTAATTAACGCTGAGGATTCCTTCTTTTGAAAGAAAAACCATCACTGGAATGTGTTAAATATAGTCAACATGAGGATTCACTTTGCAAAAGAGTACAATCCTGAGCTAAGGCAGGAGATTCACAAGGTATACATATTACTACTACCCTGGTTGCTGCCTGCTTTTCAAATCAGTCACATAGGGCCAGTGTTGAAATCTTCCTGCAAACCAGGCCAGCAAATAATATTGGAGAAAAAAGCCAAAAACAAAAAAACAAAAGATATACAACCATGGAAGGTAAAACCATACAAATTTACAACACATGTTTTTAGCACAAAGCTAAATAAGAGAAACTTCTAGTTAGTCGAAACAAGACAGACATCAAAATAAGCATCTTTCAAACTGAAATAAGCACTATGGTTTACAACAAAAATAAAAAGGGTTTTCCAAGCTGGGGGAGGAGAGACAGGATGAAGGGGAAGAAGGGCTCTACTAAAATAATGATAACCCATTTCTTCAACACTGCAAGTAGCAGCAAATGGGCTTCAAGAGACTCTTGCCTGAAATGGAAAACAACAAACCCACTGCATGTCCTTACAATGCCAAATAGCCACTCACTGACTCCACATTAAGTTCTTCCCATCAAAAGCTACCCCTTGAGAGACAATACCCAGGATATGATTAAAGAAAAAATAAAAAGAGACAGCAAGACAGAGAGAACCTACTACACAATGGTACCTTCCAATGGGAGAAAAATATCTAAACTTGGCTTCTTTATAAGAGGGATGACCATCAGGCCTTATCTTTTTTTTCTAGCTCTGATATTCCTCTGTTTCGGCATCAGTTTCCAACCATCTCTGGATGAAGAGGAAGGAGTAGATATCAAGGGAACTATAAAAACTCTGAAGATCCTGACTGCAAACAGGAAAGGTGACATTTCCTGTAAATAGTCTTTCCATCTTTGAGGCTTTGCATCATGGAATTCCCTCACCTTTCTAAAAGTAGCTGGAAGATATTGCTTGGTTTTGAATGCGACAGATATACTTTAATCTAGTAAGGAACTTCTTCCATTCAGAAAGTCAGGCGAGAAGAAAATAAGCCACACACTTCCGGGGAAGCATCAAAGTTAAAACTCAAGTTTAGGTGTCAATGCCTTAAGCTTTGTGTCCCTTGCAAAAAAAAAACCAGCAAGAGTTAGTTTGCTCCTTGGGTGCAAAAATTACATCAAGTACCCCCTTCCAAAACAAGAGCATTTTTTTCCCTTTGTCTGGATTAGAAACCACAAAATTGCACTCAACAGTTAACATTGTCTGATCATGCTCATGTCCCAGTGTGAGGACGGACTGAAAACACCACACTGAAAACTGGGAAATCCAAAGAGGTAAGTACACACCATTCCTGCAGAGTCCCTGCCTCTTCTACAGAGTTATCCACAACTTTGGTGAAAGACGTGTTAACTTTGGTGCCAAGGGAAGTTGTTGCTCCATTTTTTGTCCTCAAAATAACAATGAATTCTTTACTAGAGGAGGATTAGTTCATGCAGAAGTTATTAAGCACAAAAAAGAAATCAGAAATCTATCAATTACTGCAGGCTGGATCCGGCCCACAGCACTATGTTTTCTCTAATTTTTGAGGGTTTAAATTTATCCATTCTTCATTCTCAAAGAACAGGAGGCTACCAGGCAACCATAGCCCTAAAATAATTACATTTTTCCTTTATGTTTCCCCCCAAAATAATTTCTTAGCACTTTCTTGTACCATAGCCTAACTCTCTTCCTCCATGGAGTCTATTCTTTGGCAATGCCAACTCCACAGAATGCACTGGCTCCCTTGCCTTCCCTGTATTGAACCATCTCTTTTGCCTGTGCATCTCTGTTCCATGAAGAGGCAAGTAATGGCACAAAGTAGCTACCAAATATTTAACAGAAACACCTGGCTCTTCCTTACAATTTGCCTGATCCACTCCACCCATTTCCTCCCTAGAAGTCATTAACAGCCCATGCACCACAATAATTTGAGGATATATTATTTTTAATCAAGAGCTTCATAACTAAAATTGAAAAAAGAACTCTTCCCCAGTACATTGCAATTCTCTGGGTAGAAGTCTCACCCCATTACAAAGAGTGTATCGAACAAAAATGAAAAGTAAACAGAAAAGTCAGAAGACACTATCCTTATTTTTTTTTAAATGACAATACAATTTTTCTTTTTACAGAAGTGCATTTTGGTCACATCACTTGAAGCTTGAAAACAGGAGAAATAATACCTCTGCTACTGGCAAATATATAGAAAATTCAGAACAAAGGAACCAATCAAGGTCAGAAGACTTATAGCAGTAAACAGAGAGATCTGTACACTTTCAATGTAAGCAGTACAAAGTAACTGTATAATATAAAACCTTCTTTTATCCACCAGTGTATAAGAAAACATTAGGCAACTGAAAATGTGACAAAAGTGCCATAAATCCCACTCCTCCCAGGGGCAGGCAAAATACAGCCCACAGGCCAGATCCAGCCGGCCAACTGGCTGCATCCGGCCCTCAGCTGGCCTTGCTGTGCTCCACATGGGGCTGAGCCTCACCCACTCCCACCAGGACAGCCTGTGCCACGCCCCTGCCAGCTGCAACCAGCACTAAGCCTTTGGCAGGGCTGTTCCCAGTGCAGCTGTAGCTGGCCAGATGTTCCTCTGCTCCCCACACCTCCAGCAGGAGCAGCCAGGCTGAATCCTCCTCCTGCCCACCTAGAACAGCACAGCAGGGACAAGTGGGACGAAGAGTGACCACTTGAGGAAAGGGGAGCAAGCAGTCCTCAGCCAGCTGCAGCCACACCAGGACCAGCCCCACCAGAAGCTGGCTGGGGCAGGAGGGGCTGTTCTGTTCCCCTTGGCTCCAGCTGCGGCTTTTGCCAGGCTGCGCTGCTTCGTACCACTCTGGGCTGGTGAGGTGGGGAGGCCTTCAGCTGGACAGTTCCTGCACAGCAGGTGGAGATCCAGCTCCAGCTGCTGGCCACCTTTCACTTGCTCTGTCCACCCGTAGGGGCTGTTCACTACACCAGGCAGGTGGAGCTGGTGGAAGATGGCTGGGAGCTAGAGCCAGAGCTCAATGTGCTGGGCAGGAGCCTCCCAGCTGAAGCTTCCCACCAACCCACCCAGCCAGAGTGGTGCGGCAGGGGCAGCAGCAGCCACAGCAGGGGGCATGGGGAGCAGAACAGCCCCACTACCCCTGGCCATTGCACAACTTCTGGTGTGCTTGCAGCCAGTTGGGTGCTGCTCTGCTCCCCTCACCTCCTGGTGAGAGTGTGAAGCTGGCTGGCTACAGCTACACTGGGAACAACCCCTCCAGAAGCTGCATGCTGGCTGGGGCCCAGGCCAGGGCTGGTGTGTGTGAAATGATTCCAGTTTCTTCCTCAGTCTTAAATGTCTGAAAAATATCCCCAAATACAGGCAGTCCTCGACTTGCGATGAACGGCATTTACAGCCTTTATAAATTTGTACCCCATTTCAAAGTTTCGACGCGGGTTTCAACTTTACGGCAAGAAGCTAACTATGAAGCTCTCGTACGGAGTCCTGTCCACAAGCAGACAAAGATGCACCCTCCACTACACAGTGCCCTATTAACTGCATTATCTTAGTCATAGGATTTCCCCTGCCATGTAAGTATGCATGATATTAGACCAAAGCCAAAAGGCTCATTTACCATATAGTTCATTGAACTGGGCACCACCAGAGACAACAACATTTCAAGCCATGGTGATCCCACAGCTGAGCACTGCTCAGTATGTGTGTGTACTCCAGACTGCCCCCCCCACTCATGCCTGGAACTAGGTGTTTGAATCCTTGAAAAAAGGTGAAATGTATTAATTTTAGATTGAATACGTCTATGGGTACTATACGTAAATTACTACAGATATCTTTATTTCAATGTCAGTGTTTTCAAGTTTGCTTCTCACTTCACGTGCTCAGGGAGAGCAGAGTCTGACAGAAAGGAGAGGGGACAGGGGCTGCAGGGGAAAATGTTGGGGCAGAGGGCAAAGGGGCTACCTAACCCCTCAGATTTACTTTCCTTGCTGTAGTAGTGGGTGGGGGACAAATCCAAGGCAAACCTCCAATAAATAGATTCTATACTTGGAAAATGGTAACAAATTTTTCAATTGCCTATACACCAAATCTAATTATGTGGGGGGTATCCCTGGTCATCCCATATTCAAGTAAAGATGGTATTTCAGATGGAGTAGCCAGTAGTGAATTGCTTTTCCCCCCATTTCTCTCATGGTGCCTGAGCTAAGGAAGCACAAGTACAATTATGGCATTTTTCCAGGCTCAGTCTCCAATATACTGTAATGTAGGCAGTGACAGAGCTGTTTCATTTTCATATACTCTGGTTCTTTCTATTAGCATAAGCAAACTGCAGCTGAATCACACCAATACAACAAGACTGTTACGTAGGCAAGACTTGCAACTAGTCTCATTCCATCCATCTGATAAAATAATTTAATGCTTTTTCCTTTTATACATCTAAGGAGTTTAATTTTGCTTTAAAGATAGGTAAAAGAGGTATTAGCACTGAAGTTGCCTGGTGACAGTTAGAATTTCCCCTGTTCTACATGAAGCTGAAGAATGAAGTTTAAAATAACTCCTTCGTGAAAAACAGGGAAGCAGCAAAAGCAGAAGAAGAAAAACGCTTATATTTAAACATCACTACTCTCATTTTCGTTCATTAATATTTTGAACATTTGTATGGAATAAGTTCTTTAGAGTTTATCTACTCTTATATGCATCATTCACCTTGAATCATTATCCTCTGACATCACAAATGGTTACTGTGGAAACTGACGCAGAGTATTAAATAGAAACTTGGGAGAAAAATCTGTTTTTTATGGAAATAAAGAGTAAATTAAGACATATAGCCACCCTTCACATAGGTGATTTTTTTTAATAACTACTTTATACTCCCTTATTTCAATTATTTAATGACCTTTCAGAATGCTGTAAGATTAAGGAACCTCAGAATCACCAAAATCAATGAATGGCTAAAGAAATAATGCTAAATTTTACCTACTGATGCATTAAATTTTACTATACTGATGTATGCATCCCAATAAGAATACATTTTATAAATTTCAAGAAGTAAAGCACCATCTTTGCATCATAACTTAGTAAACACTCTTCCCCACAAGTACTCAATTCCACGTGGAATGCAACCATGTTCACAAAACAAAAGAACTTCCACATGCTCACAGCTTTAAGATTTTCCCCCATAAACAGTCTCTGTCAGGTTACAATTAATTTCCAAACCTGTTACGCTTACATCCTTAGAACAGGACTGAAAGTTTTAAATGCTATTTTATTTCTCACTACTGCCTTTTCTATTTTCACTACTAAAAGTGTACATATATATAAAATCAGTTCCATTTTTATTTCTAGTCTTCTCCTTGGATTACAAGGGTGGTTAAATGCTTTTTCAGCTGATAGAATTGGAAGCAATCCAGCACCAACAGCAATGCCACAATCGGTATGGCTTGCTGACATAAAGTTTATTTATAGGTTTTACTGATCTATGGCTCCAAGAGCCCTGAAATCAGATGAAGCAAACTGTGCAACATCTACTCAGTTCAGGTAACATGGAAGATTGATTTGACCCTTCCTTTACCAGGTGGAAGAGATTACCACCCTACTGAAGGTTTTTTGTTTACTCTCTCAGTATTGGAGATGTACAAACATGAAGTGAAACTGTCTGCCCCAAAGTCTCCAAGAAAAATCAAAGAGAATTAATTTTCCTCTGCTGTATCACCACTCAGTTAAAATCAACCTCACAGAAGTGAAGAAATGGGACTAGGCTTTAATGCAGCCTTCAATCAAAAGGAACAGTCCCATTCAATTCTCCCCCAAACATTTCTACCATGTGCTTTGCAGCTAACAAAGCAAGACGCAACTCAAAGTGGATAATCTTTATGAATAATATCATGAACACTTATTCCCTTCCTGCGTTTTTTGTTAAACAAGTATTGATTTGAATACTGATCAAATATACTTACGTGGTAGGAATATGGTTCACCTTCTTCCATGGGCTCATCCACCATTTTAAGACCATTCAACTAGGGGAAGAAAAAAAAAGATTTAATGTAAACATTAGAAAGAGAACAGCAGCTATTTAGAATTGTAAAATGATGCTGTTCTAACAAGAACTTTCACTGTTCAGCCAATTAATATTAAAAGCAAGCACGTAAAAGTTATTAAATTTGCAAATGTAATGTCAAACAAAGGGCTACAAAGAGAAACCTATGTTGTTTAGTGCACTGCCTTCTAAATTCTGGTGCACTGTATTGACCGACTAGTTAATAATTTAAATGCATCATCTAGAAGCTGTAACCATCACTTATACGCAAGTCATGGCCTATCATATACCTTTACCTACTCTTACTGAGAAATGTCTGCCATGAAGATTTTAAGAATGTTTAATCTTTCAATGAGAACCAATTTGCAGTTTAGGAAAAAAAGATTATTAACAGACATTTGATTTATTAAAGAAAACCAAGAAATATTTAGCAACAGTTACAATAAGCTGTATGTTCTCTGCATACTAGAATAATATAAAAAACTAACTTTAGATAACTATTTCCTTAACACACCTTTCAAAAAAATCTACTAACCCTGTTACTAACAGAAGTATCTAGATAAAACAAGCTTAGCAAACAGAATGCTGAAACTGTGAGAAATGGTCCATGAACAAATAATTTTTCAGAGATGGTACACAGAAAAGAGAAGTAGTCATGTATATGTTTAACAGAGGTACACAAAACATATATTAGCTTAATTTAAATGACTACAAACACCTGCAAGCAATTTTCTTGTTCCCCCCCGCAGCCAACTAAGTTGCCATAAAAATACTTATTTTACCAACTTTAATAAAATCCTGAAGATGGACATTTTTCCTTATCAACAAATAACTATATTTGACTTAACAGCTGAAACTTCAAAAACATAAAATGAAAAGGATTTGTCCTGCTTCAACATGTAATGTATTAAACTAGAAAAACCTGTTAAAGGAGGTAAGGCCAATTATTCACTTTGCAACAGTAGTCACCACACAATTCAAAACCTAATAATTATCACATCTCCACCCTCATATGGCACACATCCCACTCAAGAAAATGCTAAATAATGTAAATATTGAGAAACTAAGCTAATATTTTTTTGTTTCCAGAAATGAAGTTTTAGGCAATAAATTAAGTTAATATAACGATATGCAGGCAAGGTTTTTAATTCTACACAATGGTTGGCCCATCTAAGTTACTGAAAACTTACTCAGTTTACCAGTACATCTAATGCTCCAACTCTGCACATGTATAAGTTGTAGAAGGAAACTGACTTTTGAAACACTGACATTTTGTTAGGCTAAGTCTAAAACTTGACTGGTAATAGGCAACTTAGAAAAAGATGTTATTAAAAAAATCCATTTAAAATACTATTTCAGAAAAATACAAGAGCTTTTAATTTTAAAAATTAGCTAGAATGACATGAAGTATTTTTTAAAAAATTATTTGAAGAAAGAAGATGTTTTCAAGTTAAGCAATGCCTCCAAATCTGACCTTTGATTAACTAAACCTTTGCCACATTCTACACCCTCTTGAACAATATGAACCAGGCATAGTTACTCCCATTTCTTTAAGAATGCACTACTACCTCAAGCTTCTGGGTACCTTCCACATTACATAAGAAAGAACCTATAACTATACCATATAAAGAATTTATTACAATGACAACAGATCTTCCAAGCAAAAAAACCACAAGTGGAAAATGAACATTATCCAAAGCTGAGTGTGCAGGTGTATACACAGAATGCACAATTCCTCCCTCATGCATTCTACCAGTCCAGATTTACCACTTGTTTAGTGCTTAATTACATTATTTTACTTTTACACAAACATCGTTTCCATGAAGTTCCCCAGAATGAAAACAGGGCCTGCTTATCAGTACCATAAATGGTAGGAAAAGCAAAAGCTTCCACATGAGATGCCACTTCCACATGAGGCATCACAATACTGATCTTTCAATACTGGGAGGCCCAGCTGAAAACATCAGATGTTGTCAGTACTAACCTCTATTGGAGTAAACCAGGAGTACTAAGTGTTGTATTTCATAGCTAGCACCCTTAATCAAATGAAGACTATTTTTAGGAGTTTTAAGAGATGCAATTGTACATATCACTTCTTAAAGAAAATCATTTTTTTTTTATGTATTTTCCTGTATGTGAACTACCACTTCAGTTAATCAAAGGATCAGCAATTGTTAAGCCTTTGAAAGTTCTGAAAGGCCCTTTAAGACTGATAGTAAGGTGTGAATTACACAACCAACATTTTAAAGTCCAGTTACCTACAATTAAGCCCTTTAATCCATATTAAGGCATTTAAATATTAGTAGCCAGAACTGCAGCTTAACTTTAGGTAATCAGGTATGAACTTGGTCATATGCCTTAGGATCTTTCCTTCAAAATTCACCATGCAATCTGAACCCTGTGTATTTTCCAAATATACTGCATAAATATGTTTTATCTTCCTGTCAAATCATGTATAACAAGTTATTAGATTTTATGGCAAAATAATCAAGTTATTTCAATAAGCAATTTCCTATAATATACTTCCTTCACTGTTACTTGTGGGGGGAAACTGGGGGGGGAAGGGGTTGTTCATTTGTGTTTTTGCCCAGCCTATGTAATTCCAAAAAAACAGTCTGTATGCTAACTTTTTAATCCAAAAATTCTTATGATCAAGTTTGTGAATCTGGCTGTATAATGATGCATGAAGTACAGCTACCAAATCTTGGATGAAAAACTACCAGACAGTTTTAAACAAGATGCTAAATTTGTTTTTCATCTAAAAAAAAAAAAATCATGAAAAATGAAGCATCTGTTTTAATTTCTGCATTACTTACAATAATTTTTATAAAACTACCTATATTCAGCAACATATTCTACATCATCCATTAAAGTCCCCTTCTTCAAAAACCAAAATATTAAAAAAAAGTTTTCCTTGCAAAAAATGTCCAAACACACACACAACAATTTGAGTGGCAGAATCTAAGATAATAATAATCACTTCCATTAAGCACCCTGACAAGTAGCTTATCCTCTGATATATTTTGATAAAATTTATTTGTAGAGAGAATTATCCAAATCAGCTAAATAAATATTTTTAATTTATAGGACCACAAAATTAACTTTTGGAGAACAAGATCCTTTGGTGCATTTATTTTCAGACAATAAAATTATTGTTGTAAGCTAAAAAACAGTTAATTTTTTTTCATAGAAAGCTTTTGAAAGGAAACCAATGTAAATACTGAGCACCAAAAATGCCATCAGGGTGAAGCAGACTGGAATCAATCAGTGCTACTGAATGCCTGAAAGTGTTCAGCCATCATTTAAAAAATTAATCACTGAAGCATTTAAGCAAGTAACATAAATATTTCAAAAACAGAAGCTGTATACATTTTAAAAAGGTGCTTAAAAAATTGCTGGTCAGTACAGATTAACAAAAACTTCTACAAGTCACTACAGAAGCCAAGACATTTTTGATTGGTAATAACTTACTTTTACCGAAGTAAAGCCTTGCAGATTCAGCCTTTTAATGCCAGAGCCGATTTCAGGTTATAGAGGGAGTGTAATTTATGTTCTAATTTAAATATACTCCTACAACTGCAATGAATCCCATGACTGGATGGGTGTGCACCACATTAACTTGGGAGAAGAAATACCTCAAGTGCTTTCTGTTCCATCTTAGTTTGGATTTTTTTAACAGACTATTTTAAAAGTCAAGCCTTTTTTGTTAAGTGGGATTTAGTCAACAGGCAAAAAATCATTTTACTGGAGAATAATATAACTATGACAGACCAGAGGAAATTCTCAATGGTGTCTCAAGTTCCTTAGAACTAGCATGGCTAGTTTTAACTACTGGAGTTGCCTCAGATTATTTAGGTAGTAAGTTTGCTTTGGTGTGGTGTGCTTACAGGTTTTGACTAGAAACAAAAGATTAGCAGAAGTATAAAAAATTAACTGGATTCCAAACCACAAGGGAAACCAACCTTCAAGGGTCTGAAAACTGATCACCTTCTAGTTATTATTCTTTGAATCTTTAATCTTGCTTGAAAGACTAAAGGAAGGAAAAGTGAAACAGAACTGGGCATTTCATAAATTCTGTCATTTAAAGGTATGAACTAAAATTTACAGACAGGTAAAGCCTACACACAAAACTAAGCCCATAAAAAGCTTAAACCAGCAGCACAAACACAATGCATCAATAGCCCCTGCCACACATTACCCTTAAGACGTGATTAGGTAGTTAATTGCATGTAACTTGTGATCTGGCCATACATTTAATCAATTAATGGTGTTATAAAAGGAGGAATAAGCCACAAAATTATTCCACAAGAAATGTGTCATGACTTTGTGGCTGGTTCCTATCATGCCATTAATTAAACATGTGGCCAGAGCACACCTGTGGCTGTGAGCCCCATCAGCCAATTGGAGCTCTCAGCCAGAGGAGTACATCATGCACCTCCAAGCCCACAGCTGATGAGGATACCAGCCACAGGAGCACATGTCCACCAGTTATGGGATGCATGGTGTACCCCACAGCTGGAAGCCCAGGTTATTTGAGGAAAATCATGATTCTAGGCTTCACCTACACCAGCAATAAGGTGTGATGGGATCTGAAGCACTCAAGGTGGATAAAAATTATATTTTTTTTAATTAAAAAAATGGATTTGTTTTAATTCAATCATATTTTGGGGGAGGGCGTTGTTAGCATGCTTTTAAAAAAAGAAATAAACCTATATAAAGATCATTTTAATTTAAGATATGTTGGAGCTCCAACATGGAATAGGGATTATGTCTAATTACATACTATTTGAAACCATATATTTGTGTAACCTTTTTAGATAAAAGTCTTATAAATAGGTCACACTAGGCTATGACCTATATTAGGGGCCCAATCTTATGGGGTTCCCAGAGGCTCCTCTATATATTAGTAAAGATTAAAGAAAACCACTCTACCCAGTGGGACTCAGTGCTCAGTCTAGAAGATCCCATTAAGCATTTCTGTGATGCTTAGT